GGCCAACCCTTGAAACTTGAGCCAAACGTGCCTCGTTACGAGGCTGAAGAGGAGGGAGCGTGTCCGGAACAAGAAATAGCTGGGAGCGGATCGCCTGCAGAGAGGAAAACAAAAGGGAGTACACTGTTGGCGTGCCGTGGTGTGCGTGCCATTAGTTGTGTGTGTGTTAGCGTGTTTATATGGGCCAACTTGTTAAACACAATTTCCTTTGGGGAAAACAAAGCTCTTTTCCAGCCCTGTTCAAAAACAAACAAAATAAAACAAAAATGTTGGATGTTAACTTTTGTCATCTTTTGTTTCTTTAAGTCCAAACATATAGAGTTCAATTTGGAATTTTGCCTGGGACTAAAACGTCACAGCAAGTAAAAGTTCCCTCTCTCTTTTTTTCCATTCATCTAGCAGCATAAATACAGTTTGGCCACTGGGGGAAAACAGTAGAGGGGAAGGGGGCAGGGGGTTCAAGGGCATTAATCCACAGCACTTAGAGCAAAGAACCTTTACTTCGTCTCGTCACAACACCGGCATTGAGGAAACCACCCCAGCTAGATTCTGAAAAATTCTGGACAGCATTGATGTTTATATGTGGAGACGGAGTTCTAAACCCAGGTATGTAGAAAACAGAAAGGAAGAACAAACAACTCAAATAAAAAAAAAAAAAACCTTTGTGACATAATGACAGCAAACCTAAACAGAGCAGCTTTCTAATACTGGGATTTGTTGCTGTTGGCAACCGTGAGGAAAAAACAAAACCCCTTTCATATGATAAACCAAAAAACGTATTGAAATTCACAGTTGTGTTTGTGTGCGATATTCTAAAATCAAACTTGTGAAACCGAGTGTAGAACAATAAGAACGGAAATGGAGTGACAAGAAACGAGCCTGATTACAGGCCGAACCCTCCGATCGCTTTCTCTCCTCTGCAACAAGCAGCTCTTCTGTGTGCGGAAATTTAGCTTTAAAATGTTTACCACCTTCCTCAATCTCTTCCACTCTGCGGTTGGCCGTTTTGAGTGTATGTGTGTGTGGGCGCGCACTGATGGGAGGGTATGTGGGGGAGAGGGGGGAAGGGGGTCTTTTAAAAAATAATATATCTCTGTACATCTCAAAATCTGTCAGGCTTGAGCGAAACCAAGTCTCTGTGCGAAGCTGACCCCGAACCGAAAGGGTTGAGAGTCACTTCAAAAGAGTTCAGTCGTCATTCCTTTTCTTATTTCTCCCAGCTAATCAAGGGACAGACCGGTCTTGCCTCCCCCCTGCCTCGTTTCCAGCCCGATCCCCTCCCGATTCCACCTCGTACTGGTGGTAGGGGGTCAAAAGCAGGGGCTGAACACATGTGAGGGTCTGTGGCTCTGTTGGTAACATTTGCCCAAAGGGGGACGGGGAGGATGATGGTAGAGGACAGGACAGCCCACTGGTGGTGGTGGTGGTTGTAGATTTTGCGAGTTTGGGTAAGAGTTCTGGGCTATGGCCCCTCCGGTTTCTAGGTGCCTCATCTCCCATTCCCTCTCTATTCCTTCCTCTCCGTGGTTCGCTCTCTTCGTCCTTCCCCCAACATCCCTTCTCACTTCATGTCCACGTCAAAGTCCAGCACCAGCAGCTTGGTCTCCTCTGTGCCGTTGCGGCTGCCCACTGCGCACACCAGCTTGGTGTTGGAGGCCCGGATGCGCCACACCACACCACCGCTGCCGCCACTCTCCAGAGTCACCAGGTTTCGGATGAACTCGCCCGTCTTCAGGTCCCACAGTTTAACTGTGCCATCATCCGAGCTGGTGATGACAAAGTTCTTGTTGAACTGGAGGCACGTCACGGCGCTCTGGTGCTTGTGGGGACCTGGACACACAAAGAAAGATGCAGATGGTTAAGGGAAGAAATGTGCGGTAAAAAAAAGGCCTTTACCACAGCTGGAACTTTTCAGCTCCAGGGGTAGATGTTTGATGGCCCAGGAAACATCAAGAGCAGTGTTGGCTTTTCCATGACAATTTGTTTCAGACTATAAATTCTACAGTTATTTGCTTTGATATTTACTGTTGGTCCAGCACCTGTAAAAATGTTCAAAAATCTCTTCTTCCCTTCAATTACTAAAACTTTAGTACATTTCTTCAGACAGTAAGCAGGCATTAGGTTGCAGGTGTTAACCAGAGCTAGGACTCGGGATAGGAATATCTTGTACTTAAATATTTACGTTTTAATAATTATGCATTAGTTGTAGATGACACCTATGCCTTGAAACATAAAAACCAAGAACATCATGATGACTGTGTTGTTGTCTCTATGCGTACAAGAAGTCTTGAAAAAGCCACTATTAGTAATTTATCATCATTGTGATGGAAATGTAAACAGTAATGCACAAGAGGGAACTGTTGGTTCCCGATTATTCCTGCAGGGTTTTCCACCGTGTTGTACAGCAGACCACCTCACCCTCACCAGAAATAAAGAGTAAGACCACCCCTGCGAACTAAAACATTAACATTCAGGGGGAAGGAGTGACATTTTCTAAAGAGTCTGTCTATTGTTTAGGCTGCCATCTCCTAAGGAAATTGATCACAAGACTCCCCCTGTCCTGGGCCTCCACAGTTCCTGGTATAATTTAGTCCAGTAATGATAAGAGAGCAGTGGATGGGTGAATTTAAAATGAACTAGAGTTGTGGCATAAGAAAAGATACAAAACAAAACCTCTGTATGCCTGTGAGTGGAAGGGGAAAATGCATCTGTTGTAGTCCTGAAGCTGTTGTGAGTGTAGTGAGGTCTTTAGGACGAGCTGCAGTGACATGCCAGGACTCGGACCTGTCACTGTCACGGAGGCTAAACAGCTCCAGCTACACCTCCGTCTGGTGTGTTTGTGTGCTGGCAGCAGGCAGGAGGCCACAGTTAAAGTGAAGATGGCGGCTCTTACTGCCTTCATTGAGGTGACTTTATTTGTGACTGTACACGAGCAGTGACTTCCCCAAGGGGCTTGAAAATGATATCTTAATTAAATCAATTAGGGCGACACAAAACACAAACAAGCGCAGAATCAAGTGCTGGCAAAACAAAGTCCTTTTACTGGAGGTTGCTATAGCAGCTATTTCTTTCAGACACATTTAATTTCTTTCCACTTTCACAATCCATTTGCAGTGAAAATTTGTTGAAAATCTCACCGTCAACACGCGCTCGCATCTTTTACATTTCTGTCTCTGGTTAGATCAAAGGCTGTGTTATTTACCCGGGTATACAATGCTGCTTTGCACCAACCCCCAACATGCCTGACTCTCTCCTCCCTCCTCTTCCTCTCCCTCCATTACCACAACAAAGCAGCCAGTTCCATCATTACCTACACTCTCTACAGCTGACAGTGACGACCTTGTTGCTTGCCTATTGTCTTATCAAAACACACTAATGAATGGCAGATATTGTCCGCTGACCTAATTATATGACCTACAAAGTTCCCTGGCCCTCATCCCTTCACTGTAGTCCCCCCTCCTCCTCCTCACAAGACACGCACACATCCTCCCTCCGGGCGGGTTTATTCCTCCCGTCTCTCTTCAGGCTCTCACTGGGGCATCCCATTGTTCAGCGGGTGTGTGTGTTGGTGTTTGTAAGAGCAGCATTCAGGGTTGTAGTTTGCTAATGAGGGCATTTAGGGGCGGGGTACTGGTGGTTGCTGCTGCTGCTATTCAGCGAAAGGATTTCCAACTTCCTGTGAGGCACCAGTGCTGCTAATAGAGTTTAAACTATTCCAGCAGACACAAAAGAAAATGAGACTGTAATCAGGACCAGCAGACCCACAAGGTGTTGGCTCACACAGACAAACAGGTCATTTAGTCTGAGTTTTAATTGGACTCAAGTCCTATCTTGTGTGCTTGTCGTTGTCATTATTCTATGTTTAGTTACACATTTATAGCTGAGTGGTTCTGCAGCCTGTTTTATAAACTCACCACAGTTGCTCCATCTCTTATGTTTCACCTACTGTAGTGCATTATTCAGGTGATGTGATGCAGAAAGACACTACCAACTAAAAAAAGAGACGGTAATGTATGACAGTAGCTGCTAGTCCTTTTTATCTGCTAAGCTCAAATGTATTCACTGGACGCTGATTTTAAACTGGATGTTATTTAAAACTTTTAGCTATATAAATGTGGATATTGTTTAAATTTTTATTTCCATACGATTGAACTGTCGATGTTTAGGTTGGTTTGGTCAAGTTTACAATCAGACCACAACTGCAGAAGCTGGATATTTTACCCATTTATCCATTACTTTTACCCAAATGTTTATACTTCTCTGCTCACTGTGAACTACCTAACACACAATACAATGTGTTTGTATATACCTCAATCATTTATTGATCTCTTCTGTTGTGCTTTAATATTTTTACCCTAATGTGAAGATTACACTTAAATATATAGATGGTGGACTCACCTTGCAGTGTTTGCAGGCACTGGCCCGTCTTGATGTCCCAGATCTTGACAGTGGAGTCTGCGTTGCCTGAGACCAGGATGTTGTCTTTGAGCTCCATGCCGCTGGTGAGGGACTGATGCCCCGTTAGCGTGTGGATGCAGTTGCCCGTCTCCACGTCCCAGACCCTTATAGACGTGTCCAATGAGCCGCTCACCACGTGGATCCCATCAAACTAGAAGGCAGAGAGAATCTAAAGGTCAGCCTCGACACTTGCAGACTCAATTTCGATGGAACTTTTTAAACTGAGAATTAAGTTGCCATCGGTAACTGTCACCTCAACTTGCAGTTGCTGCTTACACAGCATACTTTGATTCTATTAACAAACTTAAGATTAAACTCATTGAAATGAATGAATTTTATTGATTTCTTTTACGTTCCCACGTCCAATAGTAGAGCATCAACACTTTAAAAGCCTAACGATGCAGCGTGGTACAAAAACCAATCTATCAGTGCAGTAAACAGCCTCGTCTCATCTCTCTGGTGATGGCACCAGCTAAAGTGCACTGTAATCACACAGAGTGGGTGAGAGGACATCTTAGAGGACACAGACCATGATTTTCTTTTCACAGAATGAACAAACAACCACATATATGTTTGGAGAAGATACATTAAAACATTATAAAACAGTAGAAAAACAGTGCAATCAGATTAGATTGTCTTTTTTTTGTGCCACACTGGCAAAGAAACTACCTGAACACAAGGAGAGGAATTCTCAAATAACACAATATGAATACTTGTACATACAGTATGTACATATTGATGAGGCTGTCCTAGGTTACTCTCAGATTGAACCTGGTTAAATTGGTGGAGACGCAGCACTAAACTGAAAACAACAAACTCTGAAACACGCTCATTTGTTGGGGAGATACACTGACAGTTACGTTTAATATTTTCATTTGGCTCAATAAAACTTTAAAATGTTTTGAAAGTTATGTTGCAGTTTGTGATGATACAGTGACTTCCTGTTTACACAGTTTTCTTTTGAGCAGATGGTGCGATGGTGTTTCCTCGCAACCAGTTTACACATTACGAGTCTTTGTAAGAGAAGATCCTTAACTTTTAACAAATGGAATAATTTATTTTACTCAACATGCAAATGCAACAAAAAAAAAACAAAAAACAACACCACACTAGTGATTGTGTGTCTCAAGCTGCTCACCTGTAATGAATACACTCTGTTGGTGTGGCCCTGCAGCGTGTGGAGGCAGGTCTCTGTCTCGGGGTCCCACACTTTGACCATGAAATCGTAGGCACCGCTGACCACCCTCCGCCCGTCATACTGGACACAGCGCACCGCCGCCACGTGGCCCATGAGGACGTGTAAACACTGACCTGTCTCAATGTCCCAGACGCGCAGCGTGGCGTCACGAGAGCCACTGACCACCCTGAAACCAGAAATACACAAAGACAGCAAGTTAAGTGCTTGTACTGGAGCTATACGTGGAATATATAAGTTTGGGTGCAGTCAAAACTTTTGTGAATTCAAGTCTTTATGTTGAGCTTCACTTTCCCACAGAGGGAACATCTTCCATTCTGTAAGATTAAATTCTTAAATTCAATAGTCTAACACAACACATTCATTCATACCTTGGCAGCTGCATTGACAGAATAATGAGACGAATATGAACATTTTCCTTCCCACCTCTGACAACAAGAAACCTACAGCATCACATTCATGTCCATACTTGAATGTACAAAAACACCCATTTAACTCAAACAGTCGCCCTGCAGCAGTGTCTTCACCCGGTATGGAAAATGAAGGATATATTATAGAAAAGGAAACTCCCTTTAGGGAAGATTTTTTTTTTTTTTTTACATTTTTCAGATTATTACAGTAAAAACCATTTGGACCAAGGATATTACTGAAAAAAATAAAGACAGTAGGAGAACATGTTTGAGGAGAATCTGGTCACTGATTGATAGCTCTTTCTTTAACTTCCACCAGATTACAGACAGATTTCAATAAAGACAGACAGAGATTCCTATTACAGGGTATTGAGATTTAAAAAACAAAAAACAAAACATGTTGTAAATAGATAAAGCACATACTCTCTATTTGTAAAATGGCTTATGGTGCAACATAGATGGGAAATCACCAACATGTTATTCACTGTCTGCCTGCAGCTTACAGCATTTCCAGGGTGAGTAATCATATGCTACACAAAAACCTTGGTGGGCCCTAAGGCGAAAAGAGCACTTTGAGTCTCTGGAGTGTATTACTGAGTGAATGAATGAGCAGCAGTTCACTTAAGATGGCTCACAGGGTCTATTTAATCATTATGAGACCGCATTGCTCACTTTCATAGAGATACTGTCCTCTTATAGTGTTGCAGACATGCTCTTTTTGCTTGCTAGGATCACTGTTAAATCGGGTGTCATGATTCTAATAATAGAGCGTATAGGACATGAAAGGAATAGTTCAACTTTTTGGGACTTTATTGCTGAGAGTTAGATGAGTACCGTTTACACAGACAAAGATATAACTTCTTATTTGGCAGAGTCGGGCTATCCATTTCCTCCTGCTTCCAGTCTTTATGCTAAGATAAGCTAGCGATAGCTTCATATTAACCGTACAGACGTGATAACTGTATTGATCTTCTCATCCAAACTCTTGGCAAGAAAGCAAATAAATGCATTTTATAAAGATATCAAACTATGCCTTTAACAAATAAACTTTTAGATTTATGAACAGTTTGCTACGTAATTAGTTGTAAAACCCTCTAACATATTTAATGGGTTTATCTGGAGCAGCAACTAACAAGTATTAGTATTTTTATTTGACATTGTTTAATACTGATTATTAATAATAGTCATCACACTTTCCTGAAGCCTGAAGTGACATCTTAAAATAGCTTGTTTTGTATGACCAGTTGTATAAAACCCAAAGATATCTGGTTCAATGTTGCAAAGACAAAAAGAGAAAATCCTCACACACTAGGGAATCTTCAGAAATAATTTTTTCAGCTCTAGATTTACGAGCTATAATTGCATCATATCCAAAGAACCACATTTCACAAGTCACTACAAAAGTTAATGAGGCTCAACGGTGAGAATCGCCCATACCTTTTCTCATGTAGGTGCATGCAGCGCACTGTTGAGGTATGCCCATAGAGGGTGTGGATACATTCTCCTGTCTCTGCGTTCCAGACCTTGAGTGTGCGATCAGTGGAGCCGCTGATAATAATGTTGTCTCTCATCTGGGATGACCACACGCCCCCTGTGTGGCCCACCAATGTGCGCAGACACTTAAAAAGATCACAGGGGAAGAAGATCATTATATTTCTCAGTTAGTACAGACTTTGGATGTAAGAAAAGTTAGTTTTCAAAGACAATCAAGGTGATTTCATTCATATTTGTTACATTTGAGAACTCATAAAATCCAATTTTTTTCCTCTCCTGTGACCCCTTAGTGCCTACAGGGGAAAAAAGACAAGTAAAATGAAATTCCTGTGACCTTTCAGGCTGAAAGAGGAGCTCAGTCGTTCCATACCTGCTGCGGCTGTACTGGGACAAAATCTCTCCCTCAGCTTTTATAATTGCTTTTACTTATCTGTTGGAAACGCGGGCGATTCAAGCCTTTTGCAGAAAGGGTTGACAACTGTCTTCAGTAAAGAAATGCGCCCATTCATCCACATTAGGGATGGTAGATTAGCTATTGATTACCGCAGTTATGGGAATCTTTGTGATCAATTGAATGTGCGTCACTACAGTTTGTCTAATTTGTCCCTCGATTTAATTATCCTAAAAGGCATTAAATTAAAATTCTTTGGGGAGAGGAGCAAACTGTAGAAGAGGTCTCTGGCGAGTGCTGCAGTTATGTCAGGTTCAGAGTGGAGCATGTTGCTGAAGTGTACAACATGTGACCCCCTGACTGTAGCTGATAAGCCGCTGAGCAGTGAATGGCAGCGCAGGGCAAGAGGTTTTATTGCAGCGAGTAAAAGAGGAAGATGATGCTCCAGCCTGTCTTCCTCCCTCTCTGTGCTGTGATAAAGAGAATCACTTCATTAACTGTGGGCCAATGTGGCATGACCTTACAATCAACCTCACTACAGTGTTAAAAGTCTTACTTGTTTTATCACCATGGTCCTTTCTTCTTTTATACAGCAGTGAAATACATAATCCTGGAGCTGGGACATTTGACTAAATTACACTTAATTGTACACTTAAAATATAACATGGCTATTTTGTGGATTATCGTGCTATATTATCAGGATTCAGACTGTCCACATTTGTGATAAATATTTGCTTTTCTTCTGTTTATTGTGAATCATACTCTCAAGGATGCAAGATTTTTCTTGTGAATCGGAGCCAGCGGTTGAGGTTCCAAGAACAAGAATCACAGTGTGTGATTAGAGCCTACTCAAACACTATGTGGGAAGAGAAAATACCTGAAATGAAGGGCTTAGGCTTATTTATCTGTCAGTGAAACAACCCTAAAATGAGGCTGTCCCTGAGAGTGAAAGATTTGCATTCTTTTAATGAACCTTTTTTTGTGTACAAGGGTTTTTATACAATGCGTATCATCTGCATTATATTTTCTATTTATACACATATGTGGCATCCAATCTTAAGGGGTTAAAGAAAAAAAACAGTGGAAGAGTTATCCAGTACAGCAGCCTCAGAGCTCTAGACTATGGAATTGTGTAAGATATATCAGAATATGCAGGTCAACTTGGCTAAAGGCTGCATGCAGCTAATATTTAAATAACATTTTGCAGGTCAAGACATCAAATTATTATAAACTCACATATGCATGATCTAAAAAAACCCAGACTACAGCTGAATCTATATTAGGCATGCTTAAAATGTATCTTATAAATTGTGAAACACCCCAATAGCCAAGCTGAAAACCACCACAGAAGAAACCTTCAAAGCCTTCGTCATAACTTACGATCTCATTGTTACCAGAATAGATCTGATCATTACCAAAACAACTGTCTGATAATTATGATAAATGGTTAAAATGGTTATTGATCGTCTCTCTTTGAGAAGACAGATAAAGTAATGAACTTGGTGGAGTAGGAATCTCTGCTGCTGCCTCCTCGATTATTTTCTATTGGGAGATTTTAGCCAAGTTGAGTCTCATATGATGCCTCTCTTGCAATGCTTCCCCCAGCAACTGAAAAAAACTGACCATGCTCTCAGCTTTTTTAACAAATGGAGGTGGAATAAGGCTGAAGAATGAATCAAAATGGTGCAGACTGAGGGTATTCTGAGTGCTGAGTGAGAATGATTGTGGCAATATGTTTGCGCGTTTCCATTCCTTGAGCTGCTGATTTGATGGCATAGGTCATGATTTACTGCTTCACTTAAGTCCTGACAGATGTGGTACCACAACTACACTGTCCTTTCCTCAACAGAAGAGGGCATTATTATGGAAACCTCTCTTGCATTCATATCCACCCATGCATAAAATGCTAGATGGCCTTCATTAATTTAATTTGACAATTTAAGCAGTAATTTCCCCATCTCTAATCATTTTAAGTATTCCTCTTAAGTTCACAGCTCCACAAGCAATCTCTAATCTCTGTTGGTTAAAAAAAAGGAGGAGAAGGTAATCTGGGTATCCATGCAGCTAAAGCATCTGGCAGAGGACAACTCTCCCTGGATATGACAGCAGTCCACAGGTCTGCCATCTTAGATCTGCCTGACAGCTGAGACTGCTGCTGACAGGCACCACCAAGGACATGCGCTGCTCTGTTAAGCACCAGGCATCCACCTTTGCAGCAATGAGATGTGTGCAGCTGTTTGTGTGCAGAAGATTGACATCTTTCACTGAAGCTGGAGGACACGCATAGACAAAAAGGTCCCATCAGGTGAAGACGGAGCCTTCAAGTATCATCTAAGGAATCGCTTCTTCAGCAGGAAAACAGGCTTGTTTTGAAATTCCTCCAGACCACAAATCTGAACTGCACTTAAAAGCTTCAACATCTTACGTTAACTTGTGTTTGTTCAATTTCTGATGGAATACTTTCACCACAATCAAATCCCCATTGTCTCACCTGATCGCTAAGCAACGGCCCAGTTCTTTCAGAGATATGGAAGCATTTACATATAATGTGCTCATGTAATAACTCCCTGATTGCCTCACAGCAAGTGTTCGATTCACTGTATTTTCTATAACAAGATAAAGCAAAGGCAAGACAAACTGGCAGCAAAGTTGAAACATTAGCAAATACCCATCTTGGTCTTTGGCAAGACTGTGCTGGAGTAACGGTATCTGATGAATATTTGTTGAACATTTCGTAAATTAAGCCATGTCCATGCAAATAACCCTTTTTGCTTTTTGTGCTAAAATGCCCAGTGAGTTTGAAAAATACATGATTCACCAACAAATCTTGAATAGAAAAAAAATTGATACTGGACAGAGTCATTAGAAACATCTGTTACAATCTTGTGAGCATTATAACTGATTCCCTATTTAGATAAGTGCTGGGGATACAGAGGGTAGGAAAAAAACATGAGAACATTTTCAGGCTGAAAAGTGATGCAACACCACATTGTCCCATCACAGGGGAATCTTTTTGATCGCTTGATATTGAATACAAGGTCTTAGAGTAAAAGCATCACAAGTGTTAACGCTGCTCTACCTCTGGCACAACTTGTCTATGCTGTGACCAATTTCTTTTTCCATCCTATCAATTTAAATCTACCTACAGTGCAAGCCGCCGGAGATGCATTTCAAATCTCTCCTCTGTAGAAAATGACAGATGTAGCTGCTGATCTGAGAGTATGAGCCAATTTACCCTTGTAATCTATAATCGCCCACCAAACTCATTGCTGATTTGCAGGCACTGCTTTCTCTGACGAATGAAAAATAACCCGAAATCAAACATAATATCTTTTCAGAGCATGTAGGTGATGGAGCAAAGAAAAGAAAACCACATCTTCAGTCTAATGGCAGCGTTTAAAGATTAACATCAGAGCTCTTCATCTCCGTTGATCATCGCTCTGCTCTCGCTTATTGATCCAATTTTGACTAATACCCAAGTTGCGGTGTTAGCAGCTGAGCTGTGGAAGGGTACCCTGAGCTTTCTTTGAAGTTAAAGGATTTATGTGAAAGATAAAAAGGCGAACCAAGGTCAAACAAATCACTTTTGAAGAAGGAAGGTTATGGAGTAGATATTTTCCTAACATCTTGGCTTTTTGCAATATGAAGGACAAGAATAATTTATATGGGCACGTGGACTGGGAACCACAAGAGGCCTTCGTCAAATGGCCAAACTGTGCAACCTCAAGATCACTGATCGCCGATTTACTGCATCTCACAGGGACAAACTGACAGTGAGGAAAAAGTAGCAATCAGGTGCTCAAATACGCTGGCAAAGACTATAAAGAATGTTGACAGCAGAGAGGAAAAACAAATGCAGGTGCTGGTAATCCCATTGTACTTTTACTTTACAGTTTTACTGGCATCGACAGCCACTTCACCCGAAATGGTCGACTAGGCTTAATTGGCCATTCCTCTCGAGTGAGGGATTCTCTCTCTGGTGTTGAGAGTTAAGGAAGCAAAGAGATGAAATCCACAGAGGGGATGTGCTCTGAATACAGCACCCAAACAGAAACGGATTTAGGTTCATCTCTTCTTCGTGACTAATGTAAACAAACAATTTTGAGGCAGATTAACGTTGTAGAAACCACAGACAATATACAGTGCGTCTTTGACGTAAGTCTGAAGGCAGGGTGGTTTCATGAATAGTAGTTGAGCCTGCTGGTGATATGACTCATCGCAGACTTCCTCCACCAATATGGAACCATCGCAGCTGTAACTCAACAACCTGTCATCCAGATATGAGTCTTTGGGTGGAGGAGAGCCAAATCATGCTCTGTGCCTATTGGATGACCTTGGCGAGATCTGTTAAGATCAGCAAATGCTGTGACTGATATGCGTGTAATCACTAGTGGGCCGAATGCCAACTTTAGTATCTGTTAGACTGAATCTTTGCAGCAATGAAAAGCAAGCTCTCTGGTCTATTGTGTCCAACATAAAGAGAAACCTACTGCAGTGTAATCACGCAGAATATCAATTTCTCTAAGGGCTTTTCTCTGAATATGTTTTTATTTTTGTGAAATGAAAAAAGCAAGTTCACAGCCCGACCGTATCTCATTCATTTGCCAAGTGAAAGGAATAGAGTTCCTAACAGTTTACAGAGGATTTTTAAAAAAAATGAAAATTGAAAATAGAGTCCAATACTGAGGCATGAAAGCGCTGCAACTTACAACAATCTGTGAACCTCTCTCTAACACGACAGTACAACCACTGCCTTCCTTTTTAATACACAGCGTAAAGCCGCAGCACAAGGCCTGTGTGGCTGCACCAGCTTCAGCAATGAATACTAACACCGCTTGTGGACGTGCCGTGTAACAAGTCTGCAAAATGGCTAAATGTAAGAGGGGAGAATAGACAGATAAAGTCTTGCCTATCAGGTTAGTGGGAGCTGTGCATATACAGTTAGGTGTCAGGTAGGAAAGCTGTTATGTTTTGTATATTGCTAAATGCACAACATGCCACATAAGATAACATCAAGTCTTATAAGCATTAAGGAATAATTTGTCTCCTTCTCTTCCCAGTCAACAATTCTGACAAAATGATGAAGGAGGATTTAACATAGAACTTAAATTTCTTAGTTAACACTTACCTTTCCTGTGATGGCTGACCAGACTTTCAGCGTGTTGTCGTCAGAGCCGCTGACGATGCGGTTGCCACAGAACTGGAGGCAGGTGATCACGTGGTCATCATGACCTTTCAGCACCTTTTAGATGGTAACAGATAAAAAAAGATGCAGTGAGAAGGACACGGACGACGGGGTGGACGTGGAATGACAAAGCAAATAGCAAGAACTGAGGCTGACAATGACACGTCTCTTGTGCCTTATTCACAAAGGGGAGATAAGAGGAAAATGTCATCAAGTGCTGCAGGTGTACACAACTCTTTGAGCAGAGCTGTGTGTGTGTGTGGGGGGGTGTGTGTGTACTCTCTACTGCCTAATAATGGGTCACAGGACTGCTAGCTCAGCAATCACTGTATATGCAAAGGAGTATGAAGAGCACAGTAACCAAATTTACATCAGTGGAGGCCTAAAACGACCCGTGGCTGTTTCAAAAGCATACAGGGCCCATTAAGATGAGCTCTAGCATGCTGGCTATGCTTGGTAAACTTCTGAACAGTTAAAAGACAAATTGAGTCTTTAGATTGAAAGAAAGTTATATCATCCCTGTGCTCCAGCTCAATTATCATTCAGCACAAATACTGTGGAGCATAGACCTGACCTATCACTAACTTTCCATCAACTCCACACCTCAGAACCTTTATTGAACTGTCTTTCTGTGACGCCGAGCCGTTTGATATCAGATCTCTAAGATAAGCTAACCTGTGGGGAATTTAAGTTTAAAAAAAAAAAAAGCTACCTTGGGTGATTTGAGGTCCCCTCTCCTCCAGTTAGTGTCTATTCTGTGCTGCCTGATGTAGGCACTCTTCCAGGGGCTGTGAGTGAAGCCAGGCTTGACGATTTTCCTCTTCTTGAGGGGCAGAGGCTCGTCGATGCCTATTAGGAGAGAGACAGAAGCAGATTGGACTAAGCAGGCTCAGGTTTCACTTCAAAAAGTTTATTTTAAAAAACAGATACAACCACAACTTTAACGACAACATTGACCACAGCGGTAGATTCAGACTGCTCCCGCTGGGTAACTGTATGTTGTTTGTCTGTCTGCATCTGTTACAAAGGCTTGAGACTCACCTTCTTCCCTGCATTTCTCCCTCCACAGCAGGTTGTCTTCTGCTAGGATGCGCCAGTAGCGACACGTCTGGGCTGCTTGGAGGAGGTCTTTAGGTTCCAGGAATGACAGCACATACAAAGCCAGCTGTTGAGAGACAAGGACAAAGAATGTGAGAGGTGTAAATGGAAAAAGACAGCCAAAAAGGAGCCATCATTCACTGCAGCAGGTGTGTATACAACAATACAAACACTTCATGGAAGAAGACTTAAAAGTTTGCAGTGACTAAATCACAACAACAATAAGTTAAAAGCTGAGAAGACATGCTTGCCGAACAAACTATGTGCACAATATTAACAGCATGAATCTAACTGACAAGGGGGAGACAATATTAACCAGACAGTATTAACCATAGAACTGAATCCACATTTCTATTGAAGCCTAACAAAAATATTCAATAAGAGCTTCACAGAGCAGGTAATAATACCAGGGCTACTGTTTGTTAAGCCAAAGCCTGCATATAAAGACACAAAACCTGGTATAATGAGCATAAATCTGGACCCCTGGGCAGTAACAAAAAAAAAAAAACTGGGATAACAGCATACCAGCTGGTTTTTTTTTTTTTTTTTTCAAACAGGCATATATTTAGACAAAGCTCTCAACACACAATATCCATTGCAACTCTGAAACAATGCAGTGGATTAACTATTAAGTGATTGCTCTGTACCGTCATAAAAAGGGCAAGGATTATGGGGAAGGATAATATCATTTTGCGGGATGAAGTGTAACCCGTTGTGCAAATATTGTTCTTTTATTAAATTACAATAATCCGAGGTGATAACGACTCGCAGCACACTGTGTGACAAATTCAGGAGTGAACATCAGGATGGAGTCAAATGTCAGGTCCACAATAACGGGGGCGGCCGATTTCACAAGAGTGTGTTAGGTCAGTCTTCATTTTTCTCCTAGAATCGTATCTAATGTAGGGCTGCAACTAACAATTATATTCATTATTGATCAATTACTTTAATTAGTCATCTGCTCTGTAAAATATCAGAAAATAATGCTAAATTCTATAATTTCTCACAGCCCTATGTGATGTTTTCATATAGCTTGTTTTATTTGACCAAACATCTGTCTAGAAAGTTCGTCAGCGCTTATTTCCTCAAAGATTTGCAGATGTTTCCTTGTCAAATATCCGAGTTTGTGCAGTTGAAACTTCTTTAACAACATTTTAAAGACAACTGAGGGTCCTCATGAAGAGTTAGCCTCTTGTTGGTTCTCCACATTCATAAGATTTTTACAGTTTAGGTTTAGGGTTATTTCAAGTCCCTTGCCCCGGATAAGACCCACAAACCTTGACATCCCTCAATTACCTGAAAGCCTGTCTAAGCCAGCAGTCATTACCGGACTGGGGGATATTCTAAGTTTTATATAGGGACCTCGAGTCAGTGATTGCTTTTTAAGCCTGACACACCGCCCTCTGCATATTCTCTTCATCGTTTCAATTTCAACTGCATCTAAAGTGCTGGCCACACGGATTGTCCTGTTAAAATGACTTGACAGCCCCACCCAATATAAATCCAGCAGCTCTGGCAAAGAAGAGAGATGGGATTTATCAAAAGAGGGTCAGAGGGAACAGCATATAAAAAAAAAAAAGAGACAGAAAACAAAATGAAAAGGGAGGGCTCATGTCCCGAGAACACACATGACGCTGTTGTATGTTTGCCTTTGGAGCAAGTGCTGCTGACACCTTGAAATGTTGCATCCTATTGCCTCACTCTCCACGCTACTAACCCCCTCTTTTATCCCAGCACCTGCCAGACAGAGACAAGGTGTTGAGTATTTGATCAGCTACAGCAGATACGGTGGAATGGGGCTGTTTTGTAAGAATCCCTTATGTGATCTTATCATCAGTGTGGCACTTCAGATTGTTTGTATTGTCAGTTATGATGCAGAACAAAAACAAGACACCCACTATGGATGCCGTGAAATGATGTGAGGAAAGATGGTGACAGGATATGGGCTGGAGAGGAAGCCTCAGCTCTGTCGCATACGCTCATTCAAAAACAATGTCTGCCACAAGGGATTCCCATGAGAGTTCAGGTCAGACGGAAGAGGAATGGAAGGACATGGACTAGAGATGAAGTTGTGAGTTGGTAACAGAAAACACGAATTCAGTGACTCACCTCTTTGGGCAGCAGGGAGATGAAGTCTCGCTGAAACTGCGGCTCGATCACCTGCATCATATGCTTGACTTGTGTGGGCTCACAGCTGTCTATCAGCTCATCCAGCGCCAGCAGCTTCTCTGGGCCAGTCCAGCTCTGGAACACAAAAGGACACAGGAACTGGTTTGAAAAAAAAAAAACCTACAGTACATTTCTGTCTAAATTGACTTACTGAGTGCTAGCATGTGGTGGCTGATAAAAACCTAATGAAAAGAGAAATCCTGTGATCTAACCCTCCAGAAAATAAAGTGCACCCATCTAGTTAACTCGCGCTTGACGGTGATAGCGTCACGCATTATCCGCTTCAAACTACGTGGAGTGACTGCTGTTGAAGAAAAGGAGCTAATTAAAAATAGTGAGCTGCACTGGTTGTTGTCACCTTACTCTTACACCTTTATCACAGCTTAACATATTTTCACCAATAACATCCAAGAGACTTTAGACATGTATGCATTTTGCTGCTGGGCAGTATTTAAAATACCTTTTTCAGGATCACCATGTTACTTACTTTTACACACAGCATAGCATTCCTATTATTTACCTTGTATCTAGCGGTGTTTAGTTAAGTTAAGCTGTTGTTTTTTTCTGTTACATTATTATAGGGACTGTTTAGCTTGTATAGTAACGTATCCCTGTATTCTCTCTGCACTGTCCTCTTCAGGGCTTCTCAAAATAAAGGCAAAAACCTATTTGTTTGTCTATCACAGGTGGCACGTATACACTAGTTGAACACTCCCAACAGAATATTCATTACAACTGGATTACACACTCAACATAACTGTAAACGTAGATAACTGAAAAACAGTATGGACTAATTGTACCAATCCATCGCTGTCAAAATAGACGCCTCAGTGTGCTTATATAGGCTGCAATTTACTTTGATTTGAGCGTCTTGGAAATATACTGCCTTGTGCAGTGTGCCTGTAACACGTTAATGTTCCCTACGTGACCTCCACAGCAGCACTGAGTTGCTTGAGGCACCTGCCTATTTCTAGCAGCCAGCACATTAGTGGAAAATTTGAACATCAGGAACTAGACTCCATTTACAACTCTTTGGGGTTGTTTCTTCTGCTTGAACATTCAGTTGTTTAATGTTGGCTGCTGAATAGCACTGTACTGCATGTTGGACACAACAGCCTCAGTTGTTTTCCTCTGTGGAGCACTGAAATCTAACAATGATTACAGGCTATGAGGCAGGATGGGAAATCTGGCACTCACAAACCACCTGTAATTTGGCAGCTAAAAGCTTTAACCAGAGGTGCTGGTTCTGGAGGTAATCAGGGGGTTCAGAGACCTCCTCCCTACCATCAGGAGGGGCACACACAACAGCTACTTGTGTGTTGCATCCATTTCATGCTATAGATTAGTGTTTTTTGTTTAAACAGAATCCGACCACAGGTTCATAATTCCCAACCTGAGATAGGATTTGCTGCTAGTAAACCCTTAAGTCTGTAGTTTGTTTGTCATGTTCATTCATGACAGTTTGTGTCATTTTATTTTTCTCTAATTTGTTAAATTAAGCTTGAACAGTTATGACTGTTTTCCTTAAAAAAAAAAAAACTTGCAAAATGTAGAATATAAAATTTGATTTGTTCCCCATGGGGCTGTAAACATTGCAGAATATTTATCTCTAATCAAACTTCTAAAAAATGTATTCCGAGACTTTCCGGGCTAAGCTCTAGTGATTAATTGTAGTTTATCATTTTTGGTAAAGTATTTTCCTCTCAACATGTCAGGTCTACTTCTTCTTTAGTTCTTGATTTCTTAACATTTCCCAGAAATTCTGTCAACAATCTTTTGCAAATGTCAGTAACACAAACCAGGAGTTTACATCTGGGATCATAGTACTGATCCTTGAACATGTAGGGAATTCAGTCTGACTCACTGATCTGCAAACGTTACTCTCATGATCAACTAATCATTGTGACGGGCTGCTGATAAAATACTTCAGTTCTTACATTCAAGGAAATGTTCGAGTATCTGCTGAAAAACTCCTATTTGATTTCATAACGACTGAATTCTTTAGGCTGCAAACAAAACAGATTACTGAGCTACAGTCTTAATGCTAAGCTAAGTTAATTGGCTGGAGAGACATGAGCGACATCGATCTTGGAATAACAACAAAATAAGCACATTTCCCAAAATCTTAAACTAATCTTTTAATGGAATATGTGACTTTGTCGTGATCATGTCGGTCCTTGGTTTTGTCTTTTTTGAGTGCAAAATCCCCTAAGAATTACCAGCAGTTTGGAAGTTTTTGTGGAAAACATTCTTTCTAGCTACAGTATGCTGCTTTGTAGTTGTGTCTCCCTCTCTAATAGGAGCTACAGGCTACGACTGGACTGGGGAATGTACAGAATGTAAGTTTGAGGTTTAGCTGCCAGATTACAGACAGTACAGATACTGCAGCGGGTCAGACCTGAGGACTAATATTCGTAAAACAAACACCGGAGGTGTCACAGGTTCGCACAGCTATTCAAAGATAATGAGTTTAAACTCTCTTAGGTAATGAAATCCATGGTAACCCATTATATAGGAAATCAGAGAGACCCCATCAAGGCTAATATGCTTAAATGACATCCTATTTCCATGAGGTCTGGAATCATTAGAACTGAACTCTAACACAAAGGAAATGTCTCTATTATGTTGCATCTGTACTGATAATGATTATATAGTAACATTAATATAAAAAATACAATACTGTAATATGGAGAAATGAATAAAGTATTATCTTATCTCTCTATCAGTCTATGGGATGTACAGACAATGACAATAATCACTGAAGTGGTTGAACAGCAGATACAATTAGTAAATGCTGTCTATTCATGCATCACTGTTCTCGCATAATGTACTAAAAATAGATCACAAGGTAATAATAGTCATAGATTATCCTGCAATGACTTAGTATGGCTTATTTATTCCTTATTTGTTTCAGAGGATCATAAAAGACAGCATCTGTTCAACCTTTAATGCAGACTATAAGACTACAGTAGAAATGTGACATTAAAACTGCTTTTTAGTCTGAACAGGTACGGCTAATTCCAATTCCACGCTACAGTGCCTATGGTAATGTGGTGGGCCAGAACAACAAGGCACCAATTATCTTTGAGACTAAGTGAACATTGATTGGGCACAACATCTGCTTTTTGATGAGCTTTTGCTCGAGGGTTCACAGTCGCCCATGGGGGAAAAGAAAAAGAAGAACTCCACCGTGCTCACCTGAAATGTTCGGAGCCATTCTTGGAGACCCGTGGGTGGCTGGATTGAGGTGATACGCCGTCTCTGCTGCCCCTGACCATTGGCTGCTCTAAGGTGGCCAAATGTGGTGGGTGTGGCTGGACATGGGACAATTCCTGTCGGGCTGCAATTAATAAGAAAAAAAACAGAGAAAACAGGATCATTATAGACATATTAAGGATACACTGTTAATGAGAACAATAACCTCATTAGTTTAGACAGCATTTAGTTGTTCCCGGTTTTGGTGCAATTTCTGCAGATATTTCCACTATAAATAACACAAAAGATGAAACACTAGAACAGGAAATACAGAGAAAAAAGTGAAAGCATGTGTATTCTGTGAGGCAAATTCAATTAAAAACGTTTTTTGTCATGTTATGCTAATTTCTGAAATTAACTCCTATTCTCTCTTTTCACATCCAAATCGTAATTTATATTCTTCAAGCAAGTGTAATATTGTAACATAATTCAAAAACAGTTATTAGTTAATTAGACAGTTCTATTCTGAATTTATAAATGTAAATAAAATCTAAACTTGCAGAAAAATAATGATATTTTATGTCCTTTTTACACATTTCCTAGTTTTATACTGAAACTTTTCCTCTGACATGCAATGTGTCAAAATCGCACAAAACTCAATAAATATTTGCCTGAGAGCACTTCCAAGATATATTTTTAACTCACAGACTTCAAAGTATGTGCAATCCAATAGATTTCTGTTCAAGTCCAGACTCCTGTTGTAAGAACCTGGATGTGAATAGCAGCACAGGCCTTCAAAGAGTGCCTGTTTGCCCTTGTAATATAAGGGCAGCAGGAGAAGCCAACCAGTGGGCACCCTCAATACTCCGGATTCTGCTTCCTGACAGCAAAATGGAAAGCTGGGGGTCCATTTCATTATTGATTCATTTTTAATGGGAGTGGAAGCTGAGACGGAGCCAGTTACATGGCAACATTTACAGTTAAGTGGCTGTGTTCAGTCTGAATTTTAATGTGGCTACATGTGAACACGTACATTAAATTTTCAGGGCTGGAGAAACATCTGGGATGCTGGAGATACAATATGATGTGAAACATCATTCTGTTTGAAGACACATAGCATCTTTGTTCATACCTCTTGATGTTTTTTCCTCATTTCTTTTCATGCTAGGTTCATTTAATATGTGTACAACACTAAAATAAGGAGAGAGGGCTCTATAAAATTTGTAATTTCTTCCAAAATCCTTTTGATCTTAAGGTGGGAAACAAATGCAGAACACTGCAGTAAAAGAAAAATTGGGAAAAGGCGTGTCTCTATTGAGCAACTGGGAGGCCTTATGGGTGAAATCTAGGTTGCTTTACCTTGGATATTCCGGGCCTTTACAGGGCTTTTTTCCTGAAGGGAAAGATCGGACCTCGGGGCCATGGTCCAACTTTCTCTTCATCTGCAAAAGATAAAAAGAGTAAAGACTAAACATTAGAAACAATCACAGCATAGTACTGGAGGAGACTGTAGTGGAAAAAAACGTATTACATTACATACTTCTGAGGAGTAAATATAAATGTATAGAATTTGGTTGGAGGGGGAATAATCCATAATTTTTTTCTTTCCCTTCTGATACCTAAGTCTAAGTCACTTTACTTTTAAGGGAGAAGCCAGGTCTCGAAAAGCAAATTTAAGAAAGGACACGGTTAATGAAAGTTTTTAAAAAGAGGGGTGGAAGCAGAAAATTGCTTTTTCAAGTTACAGACTTTGTTAACATTATGTCTGAAATTCAGCATATAAAATACAGACACCACAGTCTTGCAACAGCTTTATGCAAATAGGTAATTAAACTTTAATGCATAGGCTAGAGATTCAATTTATTAACATGTTCCATAACAGCTATATGTAGGTGAAGCAGCTCCACATTATGAGACAGTGGGAAACAAAGCAGGTGCTTGTTTAACAATGCTGAGCTTTATTTTGATGGTTTGTCTGTGTTGGCAGAACATGACAAGTGACAACACTGAACCCTGGGCAACCAGACATGCCATAATATCCAGAGGCGATCACACATTGGCACCCAAAACTCCAAGTGTACAGACTGTTCATGCACACAAAATAACCACTAAGTACAAAAACGTGTTCGGGGAGAGTACAGAGTGCATTTTTTGGCATTGAAGTTTGATTCACACTGATACTCGAGACAGAAAAACAGAGCAAGTCAGTTCTTTATCACCCTGTATCACCTGCGTGTGCACACACCACCCGATCCCTGTTACCACCTACCCTACTGCGCAAACAAAGGAGCCTGTGTAAAGGCCTGGGCAAGCCAATTTTCTTCATCCCATGGCTGCCACTCTCTCTGGCAAAGCCTCTCAACACACATGCAAGTGATCACCATCTCATTGCCGGTCCCTCATGAAACAAACTAAACACTGATTGTCTAAATATGACTAAATATGTTGCATGTTTAAGTGAAAGCTTAGCAAGATTTGATCGCGGCCCTGCAGTAACATCAAGTAAAAGACAGAATTTACAAAAGAGACAAAAAAAACAACCGTTTTCTTTCTAGGCTTTTAAAATCAGCTACATTGTTGGAGCCACCAGCAGCACCAACAAAGACCAAACAATAGACATCATGGTGCAGATGAATGATTCATACCTGCACTGTGGCACGTTTACTTATGGCATTACACTTCCCATTTTACACTTTCATTTAGGGTCAAAAGAATTTGTCGACAGTTTGTCTACAGTTACAGTCGAGCTTGTTGCGCTGCAAGACCCGACCTGTAGTGGGCGATTTGTTGCAGAACTTCTGTAACCTCCTGCCATTGTAGGAACTGATAATGGCTTGTAGAAAGCAGAAACCACATTCAACACTAACTTTTTCCCCCTCTTGAGGCAAACAATGGTGTTTTGATACATTTTTGGTATGTTATTGTAGTACGCCACACAAAAAAAACACAGCACTGGACGTCTGACTCCATACTGTCTGGCTTTACAGTGGCATGATTACATGTCTCTCCTCAAAATGTGTGTTTTTTTGTTTTTTATCACTATAATTTGGTGTGGAGTGTGTGTTTGTCCTCTCAGTGTTTCCAGCCTGAGGCACACATTTGAGTGTTGCAATATATCAAGACAATGACAAACCTAGAGAAAACAATTTAGAAATGATGAATGACGAGGAGGAGGAGCTCAGAAACTGCACCCATGCATTAGGTATCAATACAAGATCCCTACCTCAGTATTTCACGTGGACTACAGAATGAATCAATGCAACAAAACAACAGACACAACCAAAGTCTGAGTTTCAACAGACATGTGTACATGACTAGTACACCAATGTAAACAGGTTATAGGTGCCCCCTGGACATTAGACTGTGAGCTGACCAATGATTTGTGTGACCTTTTCCTCACCAGTCAGCTCCTGTGTAAATCTGTAGAGATCATTAAGGGAAGAGCCATAAAAATCCTTGAGTATTTCATATAGAGATGCATAGAAAAAGCACTGGGGGAAAAAGTGGCAAAGAAAACGTGCCAATTTAGTCCAAATGTTTTGAAAAGCAAGGTAGACATGTAGTTTACTTTCCACTTGTCTACATTTAAAATATCTGGCTGGCGGTGAGTCTGATTGCTAGGGAAATAAAGGAGGGTTTATAAGATATTTCTTGCTCGTTAAGATCCAGCTCTAAAACCCAACTGCCTTGTTCTTAAAGTAGTGATCTCACTGCAATGGCAGTTCAGTAGCCAAGGAGAGCCTGGGTGAGAGTGAAAAGTGAGAGAGAGAGAGAGAGAGAAGGGGGAGCACTGGCTGGCTGTCTTTTGAGTGTGTGTGTGTGTGTACCCCTGTGTGCACATGTAAGAAACAAACTAAAGGCGGGCGTGAAAAAGAAAAAAAACAGCGTGTAACCAGCCTCTTCTTGTGTTTCAGCCTGGGAAAAGGTAACCTGAGAACGCAGTGTTTGTAAATCACTACTAATCAGTCCTCCCCTCCTTCCTCTTGGCTTCCCCCTTTCCCTGTCTGTCCAAAAGCACGACAGACGGATAACACGGAGAGTTAATGATATTTTAAAGACAGCAATCGCTCTTACATAATGTGTTGATTCATTTCAACACAGGCTACATCCTGCAGCATCACTCACTTGAAAAATCTTTTCTCATTTTTCAAATACTGTTTCAAGCGGCCGTGAAACAGTTTCATCATGTCAATCAGCTTTGCCAGAGACAGTGAAACACTTGCGTCTGACTACTGGCCATTTTGGAAACAACTGCCAAGTTGTAGAATAGAAAGGAGGACCAGAAATGAAACCCAATGAGAAAATGGGCTTGAGTATGTATTTCAAATAAATCAGCCTTGGCGTTTCTTTCAGTGCCATCAAAGAGAGGCATAGAAATATTCACGCTCTAGGGGCTGACTTCAAAATCCTGATATTTTAGAATGAGCACATCCACAAAATGGATGGAGAATATAAATGAGTCACTGTTCAATTCAAAAAAGTATTGCCCATTGATTAAGAATGACATTTTCACTTAATCATTGGGATTAATTGAGCAAAAGCTTCAACGCTACACATAAAAAAAATCCCCCACAGCAAAGGGATTTTTATTTTGATCGGATTTTGACACGTGAGCAATTAAAAACACTTGTTTACATTGCAGACTCTGCATCATAGATTCCCTTTTATATTACTCTACATATCCAACTAAATGAGCATCATTTTATGGCTGCCATCCAGCATAATACACCCAACATCCTTGAGGATATTCTACCTCTCGCAGTCTGACACAGTGACCCATTATCTGTGGTTGGAGCCCGAGGCGAGTGCACGATGTCAGGGAATGGGCTACTCCAACGGGCGACAGCAGACCGATCACATGCATCCATCTCAGGCACTCACTTTGGTCAGTGCAAGATAACCACTGCTGCATAATGTACAATCATAAAAACCCTGCAAACTGGGGAGGATCGCAGGAGGAAAACTGGCTGTATTTAGCCCCTGGTACTGATTGTTATTCAGAAAAGTGGAAGTCTGCATGTGTGAAAAACATAGGAAGGAAGTGATACCGGTCAGGTATATGTAGTATGTAAATTGTATAAGCTAAAGCATCTACTAGGTTATGTAGAAGGGAGGACCACAGCTGATGTACAGGTGCAGAGAGCATCGAGCCAAGGCTGAAGCAAAATGGGATCTTGTGCCTCCCCAGAAGACGGGGGAAGATCAGTAGTGTACAAAAGGTGGAAATATTAACATATTTTAATCCAGCATTGCAGAATTAAATGGCCATATGTGCCACAGCAGTAAACACCCCCCCTCCTTTACAAACACAACGAATAGCCCGGGATCAGTGCGGTGGCGTTTATTTACACCACTGAAGTTACTATGAAGGAAAAGGATGCCAAAATCGCCAACATATAACGCAACGCGAACATAACATAACATTAAGGCCCGGGCAATTAAAGAGCCGTCCCTGGGGGTCTGCTACACTGCTGTTCATCCTCCGCAGTGGCCGTACAATCTGCCGAGAGAGGCGCGTCAAAGATAATGAGGGCGACAGAGCGAGTCAAACATTAAATAATAGGAGACGGGGTTGGTGGGGTGTTGTTCGCGGTGATAATACGAGCAGGAATTTGCTACTCACTTTGTAGAAAATCATCTTTAAAGTGCCGTAGAACCCCATCCTTGTAATCCGGTGTGTTTTCCCTTTTTTTGTTTCCCTCTTCAGTGACAGTCGGTGAAGTCCAAATGTGTGTGCGCGGTGGGGAGATGGCTCTGACAGTGTGAGGGCAGCGTACTCTCAGGTAAATCCGACGCCGTCTCTGATGTGAACATGCTCGGGCACGTCACCGGACTGGCGTGCATGCAGTAGATTCCCCCGGTAAAGGCATTAAAAAAAAAAAAAAA